TGACCCAGTGCCGCTTCCGAGTCAGCGTGCGTGTGGCATGGACAATGGCCAGGTAGCGGTCCACACTGATGCAGGCCAGTAGTAAAATACCACTGTAGAAATTGACTTCCTTCAGAAAAGAGACCACCTTGCAAAGGGCTGTGCCAAAGATCCAGCCCTTTGCCTTGGAGGCAGCCCAGATAGGTAAGGTCAGGGCGAAGAGCAAGTCAGCTATGGCCAGGTTCAGCAGATAGACATCAGTGACAGATCGGCTGACCTGACTGTATAAGACAACCAGTATCACCAGGGAGTTTCCCAGCAGGCTCAGCATGAAGACCAGGGCATAGATGACCACTACGGCATATTTGTTGAGTGTTTCAATCTCTATCCTACAGGGACTATATTCTTCTGTGGGTGGTGTGCCAGTGAAATTTTCAAACTCGTCCATCAACTCCCACCAATCAGTGTCATTCCCAATATTTTCCATTAAGACAATCATGGAATCTTTCTAGTTGAAAGATAGAAAGAAAGAAATGTGATTTAGTAACTCAAATTAAAATCACTCATCAAGGATGTGAGAAAAGTTATTCAAATATCTTTTGCTTTTCTGTTGGTTTGGCAACAGGAGATCCCTTCCTTTGCCCCTATTTTGGACTTCTTTAGAGGTCAGTTTCACAGCATCAGCATTTGAGAGAAGTCCCCATCCTGTTCCCTCATATCACTCCCTAAATATCCGCAGAACCATCAGCAGTTTTCAATTATCTTCCTAAATTGGGAAACATTTTGCTGAAGCAAAATCATACCAGAAGACCAATGTGTAAAACCGATCAAAGGTCATCTGCTGCGGGGCGCCTGGGTGGCTCAGTCGGTTAAGCATCTGACTTCGGCTCAGGTCATGATCTCACGGTTTGTGAATTCGAGCCCCACATCAGGCTCTGTGCTGACAGCTCAGAGCCTGGAAGAGCTTTGGATTCTGTCTCTGTCTCTCTCTCTCTCTTTCTGTCCCTCCCTTGCTCATCCTCTTTCTGTCTGTCTCTCTCCCTCAAGAATAAATAATCATTTTTAAACATTTTATTTTTAAAGTCAGCTGCTGGGAAGGAGGGGGGGCTCCATCTCTACCCAGACACCTGCTAAGATGGTTCCCCCAAAACTCCCAAGCTCTCCAGAAAACAGTCTGAAAACCTTTGGAAAATTACCAAGAAATAAGAATACCTGCTATCCAGTCTTCATTCCATCCTGATTTATCATTAATAAGCTGTGTGACCTTGAGTGGGTGATTTTACCTTTATAGATTTCAGTTTTGTCATCTGCAAACTTGAAGCGGGCAGCGTATTTAACCCTGAGCTGCTTCCAAGCCTGAGGTTCTAGAAATTTATTCAGATCCACACACTTTAGGAGGTTCTCCCCTTGCCAAACCTTCTTTTTTTTTACAGAAGACAACATTTTAGGGCAAAGCAAGCCTCTTCCCCCCCCAAAAAAGGGGGAGGTGTGAAAGGAGGAGGTGACAAGACCGTGGCCCCCTTGTTACCACCTACAACCACGTATGAGGTCAGAACTGAATACACAGTCACAAGGGAACAGGCAAGAAGCCAAGTGAGCAGAAATCTTCAGGTCCCACAGAAATGGATGCATTTTGTAAAACACAATCAAACTAAATCTCCCTCCCCAAAGAAAGTCCTGGCAGTAGAGGTTGCTTCCTACCTGAGGCACTGGCAAGGTGTGTCCAACTGTAAGAGCCTGGAACTCACAGATCAGAGTGACTTAACAGTTAGAGGAAACTTGATGAATAAAGGGAAATAGACAAGCCTCTTCCTAGCACACCTCCTCTCTGAGCCCTGCCCACAACCGTATTTGGAGAACAGATGAAGTCAAGGGACCACAGGGCGTTAGAGACTTCCAGGATCTGTATGTCCACGCAGGGGTACCAGACAGGAAGATAGAGTCAAGGGTCCACTATCTGAATTCTCCGCATGGATGACTATTTTTATTTTCTTCCTTTTCTGGCGTTTGTTTCCATTTGTTGATCCCTTAAATTCCCTAGCAGATCACCTTTGAAAGCTTCCAACTTGCTTGGGTATGAACAAAGGGGAGAGGACTTTGCTTCTGACAGAGACTTCAGGACCCCACTGTAGGTGAGCCTTGTAGGAGCCCCCCACTTAGGAGGGCCTGGCGGGGGTGGGGGGCAATCACTATCCACAATTGGATGATTGGAATAGCCTGAGGCAGGGGGTGGGGCAGGGATGGGGTTGGGGGGAGTGGGGGGCACTCCTGCAGTCTGGCTGGACCACAGGGAGACCACTGGACCTGGGGCAATCCCTGAACAGAGGGGTTGGAGTTAACGTCATCTTGCTTCTCTCCCAGAATGAAGGGTGACTTCTTGCAACCTGCCTCAGCTGCTCCCAGCAGCTAATGTCTGTCCCCTGGCTTCATTCTTCTGGTACTGTAACCACTTCTCTGATACAACATGAATCCTACCATATTGTAATGATAGGTTTACAAGTCAGCCTTCCCCCAGGAGACCGTGAGCTCCTAGAGAATAAAGACCCTCTCTGATCCACCTTCTGATCCTCTACCAGGGAACAAAGCAGGTGCTCAATTGATGGTTGTAGAAAAAATGAGACATACCTCCTGTGATTCATGGATCGGATCACCACCATGATTCAGAGCGTCTATTGCTTTCGGCCACACAGTCATATATAAGGTGTGCCTGAAAGCTTCACTTCCACACAGCCAGGCTGGTCTGTCTGGGATTGTGCTCTCCCAATCATCCTCTATGGTTCACAGCACCAACCTGTTCAAGCATAAAATCTACCCCCTACCATAAGTGCCAATTAATCATGCCCCCAGTGCCTACAATTCTGCCACTGGCACTCCTCCTGGGTGTTCTTATCATTCACAAACGGTAGCAGGCAGTATAAGGAGATAATTGTCCTGGGGCCACCCATGCTTTCACTCATGCCTTACTATCCTGATCTGATACCTCGATCAGAAAGCACTGGAAGACGGGGTAGTCCCTGAAGGGAATAGACATTCCACTATTAATCATCTAGGGGAAAAGTAATCCTGGGGCAGTAAACAGTGACTGGTAACACACAAGAGAACAGACTGTCTGGGGCCTGTCTGCAAACCGCCCACGCATCCTCAAGTGCAAGCTGAGGCCACAGGGGGGAAGAGAGTGTTTGCCACAAGGGGGCGGCAGTTGCGGGATGGGGAAGTCCTTGCAAGGGACCAGTGAGAAAGACCAGGGCAGGAGCAGCCCCAGTGAATACCTATTGTATTTATACTCTTTGTATAAAACTCCCTTCTGCTTTTCTTACGCCCTCAGTCCAGTCAGTACAGCATTCCCATCTAAACCAATGAGTGACTGAGGTATGGAGGGGAAGGGGCTGGTCCATCCTCAAGCCCAAGGAGCAAAAGACAAGCAGTCCTCTGGATGAGTGTAGGGGTAGCAACACTGGTAGCTTAGGTCTCCAGGGGGAAGCTGATCCGGAGGACAAGAGTTAAACGTCTAGATGGCCAACAGACACATTAGAAGATGCTCCACATCACTCCTCACCAGGGAAATACACATCAAAACCACACTGAGATACCACCTCACACCTGTCAGGATGGCCAAAATTAACAACTCAGACAATGACAGACGTTGGCGAGGATGCGGAGAAAGAGGATCTCTTTTGCACTGCTGGTGGGAATGCAAACTGGTGCAGCCGCTCTGGAAAACAGTGTGGAGGTTCCTCAAAAATTAAAAATAGAATTAACCTACAACCCAGAAATTGCACTACTAGGAATGTATCCAAAGGATACAGGAGTGCTGATTCATAGGGGCACGTGTACCCCACTGTTTATAGCAGTGCTATCAACCATAGCCAAATTATGGAAAGAGCCCAAATGGCCATTAACTGATGAATAGATAAAGAAGATGTGGCTTATATATACCATGGGATACTACCTGCCAGTGAGAAAGAATAAATTCTTGCCATTTGCAACAACATGGATGGAACTGGAGGGTATTACGCTAAGTGAAAGAAGTCAGGCAGAGAAAGACATATCATATGTTTTCACTCATATGTGGAATTTAAGAAACTTAACAGAAGACCATGGGGGAAGGGGGAAAAATAGTTTCAAGCAGAGAGGGAGGCAAACCATAAGAGACTCTTAAAATCAGAGAACAAACTGAGGGTTGGTGGGGGGGGGGGCAGGGGAAATGGATGATGGGCAATGAGGAGGGCACCTGTTGGGATGAGCGCTGGGTGTTGTACGTAAGCGATGAATCATGAGAATCTACTCCTGAAGCCAAGAGCACATTGTATACGCTGTATGTTAGCGAACTTGCCAATGAGTTGTATTTTAATTTCTTTTTAATTTTTTTAATTAAAAGAAGTTCCCTTTCGTGGAAGGAAAGAAAGGAAAGAGCATTGCACTGAAGGAGGGGAAAGGCACACATAGATGAGCTTGGAATAAAATGTTATCCACTTGAAAATGTTCCAGCAATCTGCCCACCCAACATATCTGCTGTACCTCACCTTCCTGCTTAGAACTGCTCCCTCTTCAGCGGATCTATAATGTTCCTAATGGGAAAGCGTCTTTCTATTCTGTGCAGAACATCCAGTGCCACAAAGACTGTTGTGACATGTGTAGCCTGAATGCCAGTCCTCTGGCAAAGTGCGGGGGCCTCTTCTCGCCACTCCTTTCTAAAAATGAAAGCTTCTAGGCGAAAGCCTGTGAACAGCACAATATGGCTGTAAGTATATCTATTCCATCCCTATGTCAGCTTTGATGTCAGTGTCAGCATCTCTTTACATTCCTGCAGAAGGACCCGCTTGGACCTGGGGACCAGAATAAAGGCAAGGGAGGTGGAGGAGAGGATTCTCCCCTCTCTCCAGTGATCACCCCCATTGCCACAGTGCCAGGCGCAGGGTACATACGTGACCTAAGATGAACCACGCAGAGCCAAGTTCAGGATGGCTGTTTGGTGACTGTGGAAAAGCAAGGATGTGGTATTGTTATGGCTGGATGCCATTTTACCGTCATGAACGGCAAACCCGTCCAAAGACAAAACCTAACACACAGAGGAAGACAGAACTGAGAGAATTGGAGCCAGCGTCCTGAACAAACCACACCCAGAGGCAATCTTCCCTTGGTACTTTTCCGTTCCGTGAGCCAATAAATTCTCTTTATTGTTCAGACCAGTTCAGGCTGAGTTTTCCGTTGCTTGCAACCAAAATGATGACCAACTGAAAGAGTTCTGGAAAACAAAAGTGATCTGGAATGAAAGGAGAGGGGAGGAATGTCAGCGAATCACAGGGTCCAGGCTGCGACAGTCAGGGTAACAGAGGACTTAACAGAGGTATGACCTGGGCAGGTGCAGACCTCCTAGCCCTGCCTGCCAAACCCTGGCAGAAGCCAAAGAGGAACCTTGAAAAGTAAGCACATAAGAACCCGTCTGAGAACACACTCTGGAATGAATTCAAAAATCCTCACGAATGACCCAGAAAGCTCTGCTTTGGAGTCAGACAGACCATCGTTCAAATACTGGCCTTCCTTGGGGCACCCGGGTGGCTCAGTCAGTTAAGCGTCTGACTCTTGATTTCGGCTCAGGTCATGATCTCACAGTTCCTGAGTTTGAGCCCTGTGTCGGGCTCTGTGCTGACAGCTCAGAGCCTGGAGCCTGCTTCCGAGTCTGTGTCTCCCTCTCTCTCTGACCCCCCTCCACTCACATTCTATCTCTCTTTGTCTCTCAAAAATGAAAAAATGTTAACAGTGGTTATCTTTGGGTGGTGGGATTACAGATAGCTGCTTGTTTATATCTTTTGAAGTTGCCCCGTTTCTATGATGAGCCTTACTTTTGCAATGAAGAAATATGTATTTAGCCATTTTCACTAAAAAATGAATATATAACACTCTAATGGTCATATCCCCCTCTCCTCACCTAGCTGGTCCAGCTAGGTTTGTGAGCAGACGTCCAGAACTCTGAGCCTCCTGTCCATTGAACTCCCAACTCCTCAAGCCCTAGGGGCGCCTGGGTGGCTCAGTCAGTTAAGCATCCAACCTCAGCTCAGGCCACGATCTCACGACTCATGGGTTCGAGCCCCACATCGGCCTCTGTGCTGACAGTGCAGAGCCTGCTTGGGATTCTCTCTCTCCCTCTTTTTCCACCCCTCCCCCACTTGTTCTTTCTATCTAAAAAACAAACAAACAAAAACTTAAGTGCCAACTCCTCAAGCCCTAAATGCCCTGCATCCTCCTGCCCCTCCCCTTGGGGCTCCCGTGTCACCCGCCCGGGTCCTCCACTGTTGTAGTTTTCAGACTGTATTACTGTATCATTTTTAGGAGCCTGTCCCTCCCACTGGGCTGTGAACCGGCGAGGCTCTGGCACAGAGTAGGGATTCATGAAGCATCCTTTCTTTCCTGGCTCCTCCTTAAAGGCAGGAACTAGAAAGGATTCCGTTTTGCATTCTTGGTGCCCCACAAAGTGTGTGACACATACTAGCAGATGCCAGACAGGAAGTCGGTGTATGACCCGTGCAGCCACAGGAAGCCCCGCACTCAGAAGAACCCCGAGCTTGGGGCGTGACGCCCTGCAGTCACTGCCTTGAAATTCTTAATAACTTTATCTTGGAATCCGTGCCTTCGCGTGAAGTCCGGCAGGACGGTGGAGCACACGCTGGAGCTTGGGGCTCAGCTCATGTGCACTCCTGCCTCTTACTGCCTCCTTGGGCTCGGCCACCCACTCTCCCAGCCCACAAGCACCCCATGCTTCAGGGAGCACAGCATCGAATAG